AAAACGAAACAAGAGCATGAAGGTGAGTGAAACGACAAGCATACTTGTAGTAATCATTTGGTGTGTAGGTATGTGTGTGTGTGTGTGATGCTAAGAACAATATAGAGCAGTGAAAATATTCTATTGTTTATACTGGACATAACCTTAAATGGAGGTGGCTGAATACATACATACAAGTTTGTATACATACATATGAAATGACGTGATGAACAAATTATACGCTTTTATAATTGAAAGAAGAAAATATGAGCACAATCTAGAAAATTGTATGAGATCATTTTGTATAGTGGGTTTTCGAAAAGTGTAATTAAAATTGTGTTATGCTAATTCTTGGGTCAAACTTAAAATTTAAAAAAAAAATCAAGTAGGTACGAAAGGACCTTTTAACTTACAAATATATATATACATATATAAAAATAAATAAAAATAAAATTTTAAATTTAAATAAAAATAAAAATTTAAATAAAAATGAAAATAAAAATAAGGACTATAAAAGGACATTTGAAAGTGAAAATAAAACAAACAAGTAAAGAAGTATAAGTAGGTACGGGCGAAACCGAACTTTATATACCCGACACAGTTATCAAATATTATCGTTTAAATTTTCTCTAAACTGTTTTTGGGTGTTTTCCCCGCCTTCAAACATTTTCTATAATATGCTGAGTTAGACTTAATGAAATCATTGAACTAAGTTTGGTAGAAATCGATAAAAATGCCACCGGGATACACCTTGTAATCATAAAGTGGGCGTTGTCACGCCCAATTCCTAAAACTATGTAGCGGTCTTATTTGTTGTTAAGAGATTGTTGTAACTATGTAACTTGGAGTAAATTAACTTCCTCAGTTATTGAGATATCGGACTTTTCGTATTTCTGAAATTTGTCGTTATACGGGAGGCGGGTGTGATTTTGGTCCGATTTTAATAATTTTCAACGAATTGATTTTCCGTGCCAAGTTTATTAAGTGCGTCGACTTTGATAGAATTTCGGATTCATGTAAATTATTGTTATATGGTATATGGGCGTGGTTACCTATTACCCGATTTCAAAGAGTTTCAACAAATTTCTTAGCTATACCCTCGGCAAGGCTCGTATCGAGTTTGGTAAGGATTGGTGAAGCGGCTACTGAGGTACAGCATTTCATCACAAGTGGGCGGGGTCACGCCCATTTTCCGAAATTTTCATAACAATACATATTATTTTTTAACAAAATTCTTCTTCACGTACTAATTTCCAACAATATGGATTCAATATTTACTGAAATGTCGGAGTTCTTGCATTTTTCGAAAATACCGTTATATGAGAAGGGGGCGTGGATAAAGGAAGTTTCGTTGAGATATCTAAATTTTTGCTCGAGTTATTGTGTATCAAACGGACGGACGGACAGACAGACAGAAAATACGAAGTAAATGTTAAGACGCAACCCTACGTTCGACCCAAAAAATAATTTTAGATTAACAGATGTACGGTGAACTTTTTTTCTGGCATGCTAAAAAATGTCTTAAAAACTCTTCTACTTTACATTTTTTTTTTGTCTAACCTTCGGTTGAAAATTAATATATGTATACTATGGCGACGGGGACTTTCCGCCACCACAAATGCGACACCGAATTAGCGCTCCCTTACATGGCAACTTGTTACTTACTTTGGCCCGTCTATTGAATAGCGGTGATGTTAATCTTTTTCAGGACATCATTCAGCCGAGCAGAGGCACCTTCCCAATTAAGAATCCCGACATTCCATATGCATGCGCTCAAAATAAATTTTCTTGATTTTTTTACTATTTACATATGTGTAATTATTACTTTTAAGATCGTAAAAAAACTACAAAAAAAAAGAATTACCAATGCTTTTGATATTTTTGCCGAATTGGCCAAAGGTTGGAATCGATCAGTCTTGATTTGGATAAATTTTGGTCAGCGCTTTTTTTATCATACATATAACGAAGTTTTGCCGAAGAAAAAAAATTTAACATTTTTTTCGATAGTTATGCAAAACTCCAAATTTAACAATTTCGTTTATTTTTTGAATATCACAAAAACTATCATAGCTACACAAATGGTCTCGTTTAAAAGGTGTTATTTGGAGCTATAAAGGACAAAAAAAATTAAAATAAAAACATTTTCAGGTTATTGAAATTAAAAAAATCATAAAAGCAAAAAGTTGTAAAAATAACTGATCAGAAAAGATCCTGAAATTTTCAATATCAATTTTTAAGCTTCGAAAAAAATTGTTTTCGCACACTCTGCATAAAGTTATGTTACATAACTTTTACTTAATTTAAACTTATTTTTGATTTAGAGCTTGCGAAAAATTTTTTTTCACAGTTCAAAAATTCATATTATTAAAATCCCTTTGGAAACCTCTGGATCTCTCAAGCTTAGTTAGAGGTATTGTATAAAAAAATGTTTGCCTAAAACTTAAATACGTTTAAGCTTTTTCGATTTTTTACATTTCAAGATTCCGTAATTTTTTTTCTTTTTCGAAACTTTTTATTTAGCCCCAAATATCACCCTTAAAACGAGACTAGAACAATTTTTTTGACTATAATAGATAATAATGTGATTTTGAATTTTCGAGCTTCGTTTTATGATTAAAATAAATATTCGGACCAAAATTTACCCAAATCAAATATGAATATACAAATGTATATAACTGAGGCCCTAAGCTGACACGCAATTTTTCGTTTTTGGAATTTTTTTCGCAATTTTCCGTTCGTGTACAATCCAGGACCGAACATAACAGTTATTGATGAAAACTGTTGTGGGAAAATTCACTATGAAGGAAATGTCCTGCAACTAAGTGATATATACCAATCGATTTCTTTTTTCACCGTGACTCAAATTTGAAAATAAATTTTTATTTGCATTTTTATGCAAAATTAAAAAAAAATAAGAATTTATTTTGATTTTTATATTATATGTCTTACATAACAGTTATTGAGGACCTTTATTTATAAAAGTCATCAAAAATAATCAGTCAGTGACTTTTGCTTCTAAAAGTCATCAATATAAATCAGTCACCGACTTTTATTTTTTAAATCATTCGTATGAAAGTCATTAGCATTTTTCGCAGTTAAGAAGGTGTTGGGAAACAAACGTTTACTACGACTTATAAAAATGACTTTTATAAGTATGATTTAAAAAATAAAGATCAGTGACTGATTTTATTTATGACTTTTATAAATAAAA